AGGTGTGCTGTGATTGGCCAGCTATCCAGTGCGTTGTGATTGGCTGAATTCCTCAAGAGTGTGACGGAAATGTTATGACCCTTACCATACTGTGATGCCTGTGGCAACTACATGTGACGACCGGGGTCTGGACTCCGCTTCGTCCACGGTGAAAGCCGATCCGGCGATCCACAGCGCGAAGTTGATGTATTTCCTCAGCGACCAGCACGGATCAGCTCCAGGCATGACGAAGCGGATATCGTCCTCTTTTGGAAGGCCAAACAAAGTAGTTTCGCTTTCACAACGAATCACACAGCGTCTTCACGACATGGCGGAACGGGCAACAACAATACTACAGCGAGAATAAAAGTTACGCCTTCTTTCTTTGCGTGAACATTTGGGTGGCGTTATGCAAATCTTCCCACATAGTGAGGTAGATATGTGGGGGCGTGTTAGAACGAGCCGTTTTAGGTAGGTGTGGCTGACTCTTAACTTTTAAAAAGAATATCTCTTTGGATTTGAGACTTTAGTCTGTGCAACTTTACAGATCTTCTTTATGCACCAAGAGCTTGTAACACTCCAAAGAGAAAGGAAAAATTTAAATCCCATCATATGACCCCTTTAAGACTAAATGACAATTATTATGTTTAAGTTGCTCCAAGTCATTTATTTAAATTTCTAAAGCAGCTGAAAAAATGAATTCCTTAAATCTCTATGAATTACAAATTGCTATTTGATAGGGTGTAATACTTTAAATTGTTAAAAATGACAACTATTATTAATTCTTTTTTTTTTCTATAGGTATATATAAAAAGAACACAAGTTATATTTTTAAGTCACGATGAATAAAAATAAAAGAAACAACAACAACAACTATGATGGTAGTTTTAGATTTATTTACACATTTGAATTTTGAGGTGTCAAACGTTTCACCTATTTACAATTTATCTTCACTGGAGTATGAAAACTGTACAATAAAACCAGGAATGTGTAGAAAACAAACCAAGAATTAATGACACAATTTACATTTTTCATCAAGATGCAACATGACCAAATCGAAAAATGTTTCGAGACCCAATATTTACAGATATTAGGTTAAAATGCATGATAAACAATGCATTTGGTCAAATATTTTTTTGGTCAAACAAAAATCAAACAGACAAAAATTACACAAATTGTATTATTACACCACACATTCTTATTCTTTAACTGGCAAATGTCAGTTTGCAAAATGCAAAAATCTCTGAATGCATTCTTCACTGTCTTACTAACATTAAAATTAAGCTATATATTAGTGTTTTAAAAGAACAAATTAAAGTAGCACAATAGGACCGCAAAAAATTCAATAATTCTTCGGCAAGAAGCAACAAAATGCTTTCAAACACCTCAACACACTATATGCATTATTCCTGCATTATTAACTGCATCGGACTTATTTTTTACAATTTCTATTGCACTTCATTAAGGTCTTGTCCTACAAAACAAAACCACTTAAAAGAATCACATTTAAAATCACAGAACCTGGATATTCCATTATTAAAATCTCAAGTGCATTAAACAGGCTCTGAATGAATATGCTTCCAAATAAACGTCAGCATACAAGATGAGTACGTATGTCGGCACCAGTCCTCTCCATAAGGAGGAAGATTAAGAGAAAGCCTGATGCTGGTATCTGGTACAGTACATGACTAAGCTGGTGGAATATTTTCTCATAAAAGGCTTAAATATTTTTAATTCATACAAATGTGTAACTTCAGTAACACTGGCATGGTTACAAAGGTATCAAGTTTAGCTTTTTCTTCATTTCATTTCTTTGAGCCTGTTTTATACAATCCCCTCTTCTAATCGAGAGTTGAAGTCAACTGGAAATATAAAACTGGTGTGAGTTCAAGAGTTTTTCACTGTAGGACTGCTGCTTTTTTCCATTTCTTTATCCTTTATGAGGGCATTAAACACCTGATGAGGAGAAAGAGACAAAAGAAATAATTAACAGATATGTTAAAGGAATAGTTCCTCATTGGATCCTCTGCAGTGAATGGGTGCCGCCAGAAAGAGAGTCCAAACAGATGATAAAAACATCACGATAATCCACACCACTCCAGTACATCAATTAATGTCATGTGAAGCGAAAAAAAGGGGATGGACTTTTTCACTGAGGAACCGTTATTATGGACTCATATTTTGACCTTAAGTAACAGTTTAAAGTTAAAATGCTTTAATGATGGATTTGTTTCCTAAAAACACGCAGCTTTTCACTTCACAGGACATTAATTGATGGACTAGAGTGGATTATTTGTCAATTATTGTGATGTTTTTATCAGCTGTTTGGACTCTCATTCTGACGGCACCCATTCACTGCAGAGGATGCATTGGTGAACAAGTGATGTGATGCTATATTTCTCCAAATCTGTTCTGATGAACAAACAAACTCATCTATATTTTGGATGGCCTGAGGGTGAATACATTTCCAGCAAATTTTCATTTTTTAGTGAACCATTCCTTTAAGGAACGCCATGCAAACCACAATGTACTGTAGAAGAATAAAGTTCCCTGTAGTAAGCTATACTCATAATAAAACTTAATAAAAATATGAAAATGCTGCCCTTTCCACAACACAGATTAATTTTACTAGGCATCTATTAATAGAAGTTATGCAAAGGAATCTTTGAAGAGAACAAAATGTAGCAGGAAGTATATTTGCATTTACTTTCCTGCCTGCATTTCTCTCACAAACAAACTCCACAGGCTGATCACTGTAACAGCTCAGACAGGAACTGACCTGGGCCCACTTCCTGTTGCTGCTGATCATCTGAGTGTTGGCGATGCAGCTCAAGAGGCGTTCAGACGGCGTGTCCTCCGGGAGTCTGGTCAGGAACTGAGCGATGTGGATGAAGTCCATCTGCAGGAGCACGTCCTCATAGAGCCCCAGAATCCCAAGCCCCGTGCGGAACAGGAACTCCTCCCCGTCTCTGCAGAACACGTCCCACACCCGACACGCCACATCCAACGGCAGGGACTTAGTGTAGAGGGTGAAGATCCTGTTAATACAAAAAATGTACATAAGAAAGTGAAAATGACAGTAATGCATCCAGGTGTTTTGTTTAGTCTTCAAGGTCAGAAATCTGATTTGTGACCCTGGACCACAAAACCAGTCATAAGGGTCGATTTTTTAAAATTGAGATGTATGCATCATCTGAAAGCTGAATAAATAAGCTTTCCATTGACGTATGGTTTGTTAGGATAGGACAATATTTGGCCGAGATACAATTATTTGAAAATCTGGAATCTGAGGGTGCAAAACAAATCAAAATATTGAGAAAATCTCCTTTAAAGTTGTCCAAAATAAGTTCTTAGCAATGCATATTACTAATCAGAAATTAAGTTTTGATATATTTACAGTAGGAAATTTACAAAATATCTTCATGGAACATGATCTTTACTTAATATCCTAATGATTTTTGGCATAAAAGAAAAATCGATAATGTTGACCCATACAATGTATTTTTGGCTATTGCTACAAATATACCCCAGCGACTTAAGGCTGGTTTTATGGTCCAGGGTCACATTTTGAATGTAAAGCAGCTTCAAAATCTAGATTTACTTAAACATATGCATTTACAAATCAAGCTTAGTTTTCTGCCTAATTTTATCAGATTTAAAATGAAAACTAAGAAATGTTTTCCTTCATCAGAAGGTTCTTCATGGACTCACCAGTCTATCAGATACAGGTCAGGCGTGAGGTTATAACTCTTGAAGTGATTAAAAAGTCTGGGGAGGTTTTCCTCAAAAAACACCTCAAATGCCGCAAAGTACTTCAGCATCTAATAAGAAAGAGACACAAGAGTAAAACATCTTTCTAATTCATGGAAAAGCTCCATGTGTAACAATCCCATCAATAAATCCACAGAGAACTAAACTATAATTGAAGTGAAATTATTACAATGTCTGACATTTAAAAAGCAATTCAGCTGATTTGCAATAAAGACCTAATATTACCTAATTTGATGATGCAATTTGATGATGACTTCAAAAATATCAATATATCAATATTCAAAACATCAATAAAAACTTTCCATCATGTACAGTTTTTTCACAAAATAAGAATTATATATATATATATATATATACAGGTGCATCTCAATAAATTAGAATGTCGTGAAAATATCCAAATGACATTTTAATGACAAAAAGAAGTATTCAAAATTTGTCAATTAACTTACAATATGCAAAGCAGTGAAAAAATGGGAAATTAGGCATAAAATAATGTCTTCAGAATCATTCATGCATGTGAAAATCATCTGAGGATTGAACAAACAGTTGTAACCCGGCTCAGAGGAAGACAGGAATCATGTCGTTGTGGCAGTTTTCTATGAAATGCATCATATTTTGTGAAAAAGTATGATGTCACTGAATCATCAGTGAACTGACTTTAGCTGAAAAATGACTCTTTGTTATTGTCCTCTTGCATTGGTGACGTAGAGTTTTCTGATTTGGAATCAGAAAAAAATGGTTCTAAAAGCAGTAAGTAGCATATTAGTACGAAACAAGCACTGGGTTTCATTCAGCAAATATGATGCAGGGCAGAGTTATGTCTTGTCCCTCAGTTTAAAGTCTGTAAAGCAAAAACTGTAACTGTAAAGCAAAAAAAGACACTGTCGACAGAGTTTGACACTTTGAACCTGAATCACTCCTTTAAAATGATGTAAATAATCGGAGCGTCTATAAAATGTTGCGTGTACCAGCTCGTGGTCCACTCTGAAGAAAGCCATCTGACAGGGTTTGTTGAGGAGATTGGCGAAGGCGATGAAAGCGTCGGCCTCCTCCAGGTTGAGAATCAACACAGCAGCTATGAAGGACATTCCCTGAACCTGCAGCCGAAATAAACACATTTCAGAGCCGCTCTTATCATTGTCTAACGGCTGTCATGCTGGATCATACTAGAAGAACTTCATATACAATTATTTTATTATGTCACAAATTTAAAAACATCAATGCTTTATTTAACTCACATTTACAGTTTTGCTTTTTTACACTACCGATCAAAAGTTTGGGGTCAGTAAGAATTTAATAATCTGATTTAGCAAGGATGCATTAAATTGATCAAAAGTGACAGTAAAGACAATTATAATGCTACAAAAGATTTCTGTTTCAAATAAATGCTGTTCTTCTGAACTGTCTATTAAATCAAAGAATCCTGAAAAAAAAACAAAAAAAAACAACATGGTTTTCACTAAAATATGATGCAGCACAACTGTTTTCAACATTGATAGCAATAAAAATGTTATCAGCAAATCAGCATATTAGAATGATTTCTGAAGCATCATGTGACTGGAGTAATGATCCTGAAAATTCAGCTTTGCATCACAGGAATAAATTACATTTTAAAATATATTACAATAGAAAACAGTTATTTTATGTTGTAATAATATTTCACTTTTTTTTTTGATCAAATAAATGCAGCCTTGATGAGCATAAGTGACTTCTTTCAAAAAAAAAAAAAAAATCGTACCAACCCCAAATGTTTGTAAGATAATGACGGAACACATGATTAAATACAGCTATCCTGTCCATTTTTATGGTAGTTTGAATATTTTTGACATTGCTAACACATAAAATTGAGCTATAGAGATGATTTTATATGCAGATGAGAAATAATAATATTCATCTGGTGATCACTCACATATCCCACGTCAGGTCTGTAGCAGGTGTATGCGCCCAGAAGGCTATGCAGGAGATCATGGTATGGCCCACCCTAACACAAGAGAGACCAGCATTAGTGATTAATAATATTTACAGTTATAATGATACCATAACAGTGAGAGGAAGAGTGTGAACAGTACCTTCTGGAAGATGAAGAGCGGAGGAAATGTGCGTGAGATGTCCAGTTTGATCAGATCCAGACTGGACTCACGGTCGGCACTGTCCGCTATAACACAATACCACAATTTAGACATGAGGATCTACTCCAATACATGCCTAATAAACTGTAACTTTACATTTCTCTGATTTCAACATTACTCGAAAATATTGTGTATTTGCAGATTTCTCTCCATATCTATTGCTCCTATATCTACATCTCTATGGTCCTGTGATACTCTACAGTATATTCGTGGCAGTGGATAAACAGCCGCGTCTGGTGATTGTTAGTCTCAGAGGATCTGCTCCAGTGTACTGCTGGAGGCCAAAACAGTCTGAGTGTTGTGACTAGGGCCAGATGTGAAAGGGAGGATGTGTTTGCATTCAAACTCTATGAAAAACCAGCTTTATTAACAGATTTATTGAGACACATCAAAGAACAAAGCGCTAAGGCTAATAAAACAGTGTTTTATACAGTACACAGGCTGGAAGGCGTAGTGGAAAACAAACAACAAGAATTAACGTGATTAGCGAGACTGGGCTTGCAGCACAGGAAGGAATTATTTCAATATTTCACCATTTCAATAAAATGAAGAGGAAGGTGACTGTGGAGAACTGAAAGTCAGACACTCGCACACACAAACACACACCAGCGTTGCACTTCCTAACCAATGAACTTCCATGAGAGCGAGTGTGAGAACTGGTTCAACTGATTCACTGAATCAAATTGTCAGTTTGCAATTACTGGCATAGTGGATTGTTAAAAACATTCAATTTCAGACTGATTCGCTAAGGAATCATTCAAATCAAATTGTGAATTAGATCAACTGATTCACTGAACCAATTCACATTTTGCACTTCCTGACCAGTGAACTTCAATGAGACTGAGTGTTAAAACCCATTCGAATTCAGACTGATTTGGTAATAAATCATTTTGACCGAATAGTGAATCAGCTCTACTGATTCACTGAACCAATTGAGATTTTGTTAGTTTACAATTACTGAATAAGCATAGTGGGTTGTAAAAACCCATCTGAACCAAATCACATTTTGTCAGTTTACAATTACTAGAATGGCTAATTCAGACTGAATTGAGAATTGGTTCAACTGATTCATTAAACCAATTTCTGACAGATTACAATTACTAGCGTATAAACAGTGGATTTAAAAAAAAACATTCAAATTCAGGCTGATTCGCTAGCGAATCATTCAGACCGAATTGTGAATCGGCTGAACTGCTTAATTGAACCAATTAAGATTTTGTCAAGATATGATTACTGGATAAGCATGGTACATTGTTAAAACACATCTGAATTCAGACTGATTCACTAATGAATCATTCAGACTGAATTGCGAATCGGCTCAACTGATTAAAATGCCCCTATTATGCCATTTGGAATAAGAAAGAATCGATTCTGAACAGCCTAAACGAGTCGTTAGTAATTTGAATCCCACTTCTGTGACGGCTACACGTAAGACATTTGCATAATGCCCGTCTATGTTCTACGTTGGCCGGCCGTGAACAACTTGACCCGCCCTTAAACACTGTAGCCTGTTCATGTCGAGAAGATGCTGTGAAAGTAAATTTGTTTTATTTTCACTCCCGAAAGATGAGGCTGCAAAGAATCAGTTACTAAAATGTACTTTTTCTACTGTACCACAGCAGTACAACTCCAATCTGTTTTTGTGTTCCCGTCATTTTACTGACGACTGCTTCTCTAATCTCAGGGAGTTCATGGCGGGATTCACAAAACGCTTGCTCTTGAAAGAAGGCTCAGTACCCACTTTATTTGGATCAGCTGGCTCCACTGAATCACAACCTGTAAGGCAGGTTTCACACCGCAAGCGTGAGCGGCACATTTTTTTCGGCGTGCATGTTAACAAATGAGTGCATTCACACTGGGAGCAGGAGCGTCATGTGAACAGCACTGAAGCGATGGTTTCGGCTCCAAATCTATTTTTGCTGCGCTGCTCAAACTCACTTAAAGTGACAGCACACTTTTGATGGACAAAATAAAAATGATTTCACAAAAAGTGCTGAAAATGCACAGAATAAACATGTCTAGTGTGTTTTAACAAGAATTGGAGTGAAGGAATCAAGAAGATTTACCCATTTAAACTTCTTTTTAATTAATCAGTTTGGGTGAAAGTATGGTGTATTATATATATAAAAAAAAAGCACGTTCTATATGTGAATCCCCGTGTTAAATTGTGAATCCCCAAGTTAACAAACTTTCAAGTTTATAACTGACCAACTTCTAAAAATAAATTTACAGTTGTCTTTGTGAATAAATATGTAGTTTTGGAGCCGCTGCTGTGATGCTGTGCAAACGCTTCCAGTGTGAATACAGTGAGGATTAAAAAAAAGCACGTTCTATATGTGAATCCCCGTGTTAAATTGTGAATCCCCAAGTTAACAAACTTTCAAGAATTTAAAACTTTCAAGTTTATAACTGACCAACTTCTAAAAATAAATTTACAGTTGTCTTTGTGAATAAATATGTAGCTTTGGAGCCGCTGCTGTGATGCTGTGCAAACGCTTCCAGTGTGAATACAGTGAGGATGTAGTTACACAGACGTGAAACAGGCGTAAGTATGATAAATAACAAATGTTTATATTTTCTATCGAGCATTCAAAATACGGAACTATGGCAATGGGCGTATAGTTTCCGACACGTGCTGTACGCAGTAGACCAATCACAACAGACTGGGTCATCTGACCAATCAAAGCAGAGTAGGCTCACGGAAAGGAGGGGTTTAGAGAGACTGAATCTTAGTTAGAACTGCTTTGAACGAATCGTTTGAGAATCGCTGGAAAATGAGGTGATATTAAATGCGTATTTTGAGAAAAAGAAAGCGTTTTTTGACCTTGCATGCATGTAATCCTATTGTAGGAGACTCCCAAAACAATATTATGTATCTTAAAAATGGCATAATAGCGGCACTTTAAATAAGTGTCCTTGCTGAATAAAAGAGAAATGCCAATGCAAAGGAAAAACAGTTACTGAACCCAAAATTTTGAAAGCTAGTGTACAAGCAAACACACAAAGTCTCAGACAGTCAGTTAACAAATAATGTAAATATTTCATTGTGTTTGAACCATTTATTGTGAGAGAATATACTGTAGGCTGTGCATACATATGTGTGTGTGTGTGCGTGTGTGTGTGTCAATGGGTGTATCGTTTACGACATGCTCTGTACGCAGTAGACCAATCACAACAGACTGGGCCATCTGACCAATCAGAGCAGAGTAGGGTCACAGAAAGGAGGGGTTTAGAGAGACCTGAATCTTAGAACTGCTTCGAACGAATCGTTGGAAAATGAGGTGATATTAAATGCAAATTTTGAGAAAACGAAAGCATATTTTGACCATGCATGCTTGTAAACCTATTGTAGGAGATTCATAAAACAATATTAGGAACCTTAAAAATGGCATAATAGGGGCACTTTTGAAGTGAGAAGTGGGTATACTCTTATTTTTTGTCCCCAATTTTTTTTTTTAAGTGGCCCAGAAAAAGATGAACGCCCTGTGCTATAAACAGTGACATGTAAAACTAATCTTGCATATTTAGTTCACTCCAAAATGGGCCAGTAGTATTTCCACATGGTCACTTAACATCTGCTGCTTGACTTCATGGAGTAAGGATTATTATGAAATTAATATAAGCAACAGAAGAGGTGCAGATTTTGCAATAAATAATAAAAATAAAATAAATAAATAGACTGCAGCAATTAATAAATCAGAACCTCTAGTACAGGGCTGTCCAAACTCGGTCCTGGAGGGCCAGTGTCCTGCAATGACATGCTATTTTGTTTAGTTGTCTGTTCAGAATCATGGGAGAATCATGATCTCTATTTGAAACAAAAAAAGTATGATTCTCAATTTATCCAGAATTGTACAGCTCTACTCTTAAGTGTGACTGCCTGTTTCTCCCATGACATTCAGTGACTGACACAGGGGCGGAGCCATCATGTCAGAAGCGAGGGGTACAGAAATGTCAAATATAAAAATACTTTTTATTTTTTTTGGTCTAATTTTGTCAGGTTTAATTATTATTATTATTATTATTATTACTATTATTATTATTATTATCCTATCTCTTTTAATTGGCAGAGAAATCAAATACACTGATGGACAATAACCAATTATTTGTATTCTATCATATTTTTCCTATATTTTCCTAATTACAATTTTATGATTTGTTTATATACTACAAACACAGTTTTATCACAGAATAAGGCAGAATATATATTTTATAGTTTCTATAGCCAACGGAGTGTTTTTTATGGAATTTTGCATTACACCACTAATGACTTATTCAGAACGAATTGTGAATGGGATCAACTGATTCACTGAACCATTTGAGATTTTGTCAAGTTGCGATTACTGGGTAAGCACAGTGCATTGTTAAAACTCATTCAAATTCAAGGTGATTCACTAATGAATCATTCAGATTGAATTGTGAATTGGTTCAAATGACTGGCAAGTCTAAATGCTCCAGTGGGCTGTTTGAGGGATGACAGACGTACCATCTGACTCCATCTCACTGCCTGTCTCTCTGAAGCTCTTCCAGCGCTCCTTGGCCCGCGACAAAAAGATCTCGTACAAATCTGAGAGGAACAGAAAGAAAAAAGGGTTACAATTCTCAGACAGCAGATCACAGCTTTAATCATAAACCCTTTAAAAGACAGATGAAAAATCTGGTCTGCATGTTAGATTTAGCTTTGACTTTCACTTCTGAAGGTCCTAAATGCAAAAATCATTCTCTTTGGGGAGTGTCAGAAATAAACTCAATCCAAATTTCGTTACAAAGAAGGTTTAAAAATCGCCTCAGGCGAACCTGCACAGCGCAAGTCTTGTATTCATTCATGTGAATACTGCATAATGACACACTTCAGACAGAATGTTTGCCCAAAAGGTTTAGTAAATCCTGGGCTTAACCGCATCTTCAAAGTTGGCTCTTCACTGACACATGAAAGAGAGAGTAAAATAGAAAGAAACCTGAGGTTATGTTCAGCTCATTCCCAATGGCCAGACTCCAGACTTTCCCCCTCACGTTGGGCGGAAGACCTTGCCACCACAGATCCCTGACACGCCGCGTACCACGCCTGAAGAGACAGCAGTGAATAGAGTGTAATAAAATGTGCATTTTACATTAGATTTAACTATACGCATAGGTATTAATATTTACAGGAACTTCCTATCGGGAACAAACAATATGCTGCCTACATGGGCAGCTCTAGTTTTAGCAACAGAGATCATGTGTTTATATAATCATAATTATCACTGCAGGGTGTGATAATGTCTCACATGCTCTCCCAGTTGGGAAGGATTTCGTTGTTCCAAACCACCATGGCGTTAGCGATGCTTTCCTCCTGTTTAAATCTTTCCTTCATCTGCTTTTTCTTCTTCTGAGCCTCCTTCAGCTCTGAGAACAACAGTCATATTACCTCATATTAAAGTTTAACAAGGCAGAGTGTGCCAAAAGCATTCCTGACTAAATGAAATAGCACATTTCCACATTTAATGACCACCTTGGTCTTAGCAAGGGAAAGATTCACTAGTGTGACACTTTTGTTTGGGTGAATCTCTCGAAAACACGTATGGGTCGCTATAAATAAAGGCTATTTTCCATTATTTTTATGATAATTAATCATATTTCCCCAAAATTGTCATTACCATAATGCTTCCAGGCATTCTATGTCTTTCCTTTTCTTTTTTTAATTTTATATATTTTTTGAGGTTTTAATTCCCATTATTGTCAGTGGTGATTCTCAACACTAATTTCTGTAAAGTGGTCATTTTTACTGTATTTAGGTGAATAAAGTTCTAATTCAAAGAATTCAAATTTACTTATTTGAATAAGTAAGCAATATATTTTCTTCTTTTTTTGCATTATGATAATGAGAAGAACTTTTCAATCTTGCTTCTGAAACTTGGCACTGCTGTACTGCAAAAATTGTTAAAAGTTTTCTGTGATAAATTACCTGTGATTTACATAAAGGCATGTGATTTTGGGACAAAATATGACCCAGGCGTGTTCTTGACATGTTTAATGAGCCATATTTAAGCCAAATTAACACAGAAACCTGGTACACTAAAAAGAGAAAAAAAAAAAAAACGGTGTAGAATTTACTTTTCTACATTTTCAAACTAACGATTTTCAACATTGAATTATAATGTAGTTCAACAAGGTTATGTACACGCGCTCTATCGTCTCGTATAATATCTCATTTGGGTGTGTAAATCTTTTTAATTACTTCAAAAATTCAGCTATTCGTACTTGAAATTCTGAATATTTTGCACACAGCCTTTCTTCAGTGTGTAACATTAAAGTGCCCCTATTATGGGTTATGAAAGGTTCATATTTTGGTTTTGGGAGTCCCCAACAACAGGTTGACATGCATGAAAGGTCAAAAAACACCTTCATTGTCTTATAATATGCATTTATTTTTACCTTACTTTCTCAACGACTCCCAAACGATTCGTTTACCGATTTATTTTTCCAAACCCCTCCTTTGCATTACACTAATCGGCGGTGATTGGTCTTGTTTTCATTTCATCTCGCCTGTAATGCCTGATAAAGCAGCGTTTGTGAGCGCAGTGCTGCTTTGTGTACAGCGTTACCGGGGAAACAGCTATTTTACCGCTCCAAAAGCGGCACCTAGTGGCAAAGAAAGAATTTGCATTTTCATTCAGACCAACAGGAAAATACCAACAAGTGGGCGGGCAATATGCTAATGTTTCATTTTGACACATGAAACGGCTTGGGATTCGTTTTAAAAACGGCACGTTTCAATGATTCAGAGTCGCCTCTTTCTTTTGAGAGACAATAACTTTATACACGGTGCACTTTCAGATTTAAAACGTGGCAGGATGTTTTCATTCACTTAGAGCTGTGTTACACACTGCATGAAAGGTCATTTTCAAAAATCCATAACAGGGGCACTTTAAATTAAACATGAAATTCTGAAGTGGAAAGACTGAAATAATATTTCTTGTAAACTTCAATTCCATTTTATTTGCAACTTCAAAAAAAAGAAAATTTAAATGCACCTCTTTTCTTGGCCTCTGCCACCATTTCATCGTACTCCTGACGGTGGCGCTGCGCTTCCTCCTCCGATTTAGCAGGGAGGCTCCTGAGGAAGGAAGCCAATGATTTTAGTTGTCACAACAGACGGACAATTAAATGTCTCAAATGCACAGCCTAGAAGCCTGTTAGCACTGACATGTTTCAGAAACACCTGACGAATACACTGAGAAGTTTCTGGAAAAGGCCTCATCGCTGGTTTATCTCATGGTTTGGCTGACACACTCACATTTCACTGCTCATTTATTCTTAATAAGGACTTGGGGATTGACGAGACTTGTGTGGCGAAATACAACCCAGTCTGTGCTAAGTCTTATTTATAGCCCTCTGTTTGGGAAAGATGAGCCTCTCAAGGTATGTTAGGATATATGTATCGCAGGTCAATGTATCCTAAGCAACTTACGCCACAAGTTAGAAGGGTGGCAATACATCTACCTGAACTCTCCTGGAAGGACCTCAAAGACTCCCACAACTTAATCTTAACTTAAAAAAAAACATTTCTTCTTAATTACTGACATTATATTTGGACTGAATTGCCAGAGGAGAACTGTTGTTGCCTGTCTTTTAGTCTTCATTATCCAACATCAAATGGAGTTTTTCATTTATTGCCACACTTGCCTTTGAGTTGCACACTAGGGGACTAAATATATTATGCACCCTTTACAGTGTGTTACTGTATGTGTAAGTATTATGCCATGACTTTCAATTAACTAATTTAAACTGCTTTAGGATTAGGGATGCACCGATACCGATACTGGCATATAGCACGTCTATCTTTATCTGCATATATACAGTATACTCAAGTAAAGCAATAGATACTATATAGCAAATCTCAGCTACATGATTATATAATTATTAGTGCTGTCAAACGATGCAATTAATCGCATCCAAAATAAAAGTTTTTGTTTACATAATATATGTGTGTGTACTGTGTATATTTATTATGTATCATATATTTTGAAAATATTTACATGCATTTACATGTATATATTTATATTCATATAAATTATATAATATATAAATATATTTACTATATAAACGTAACATATTTTTCTTAAATATATACATGCATGTGTGTATTTATATATACATAATAAATATACACAGTACACACACATATATTATGTCAACAAAAACTTTTATTCTGGATGCGATTAATCGCAATTAATCATTTGACAGAACTAATAATTATATAAATTATATTATCGTCCATCTCTAATCTGCAAAACGCAACTATAAAGGCACGAATATATTTAAAATATTGACATCATGATTTTCTGTAAAGCTGCTTTGAAACATGAATAATGTGAAAGGTGCTATACAGATTAAATTGATTTGACAATACGCTGGTCAACTCCTGGACTACTACTTTTCAGCATTTATTATTCTACAATATAGTCTTCGACACGTTTTGCAACCAATGTCAGAGCTTAGCCCTTTTTCAAAATCAAGAAGAAAAAAATAATTATATAAATAATTACATAAAAATAATATTTAAAACCATTTTAAAATATATATGTAAGGCTAAAAAATATTTCCGCATTTTATATTTTATTGTCAACAGATTATTACAAACTGCAGCTGGTTAACATGGAAGAAATAGCTTTTATCTTGTGCTGTACCTGGTTAGTTAACAGATTGATGGTGATACTCACGCGGGACGATCCTCTAAAATGAGCGCCGTGGTGGAGAGTGGCTCGAATTCCAGGTTCTTCCGTCGGCCCTGAGCGGGCAGGGAGGGACTCTGGTCCGATTTAGACGCCCTGGCCTCGTACTCCTGTGAGAAGACCAACAGGTCAGGTTCAGATGGCTGGATGAACGGAGAGTGTTATATGGTCTGAATGTGCTGCGAACAGAATCACAGGCTTGTGAGAGTTGAACATGAGAATGTGGAGGCAGGTGGCAGGCGTGTGAAGATCAAGGCGTGCTGAGGCTGGTATGAAGCGCATGGGTCACAGCGTGTGATGTTTACAGCCATGGTGAGAAAGTTGCCTGTTTGTTCATATGAGGAAGTGTGAGGACACCTGAACGTTTCAAACCCTCGTGCTGTTCTCAGGAATTGTGTAAAAACCACATCTAGCTGCAGAGCAGTTTTCCTGTGAACGGTCAGTTTGGCTGGTACGGTTCCTCTTCCTGTACCATCTACAGCACAAGCTCAACCCCATTAATTATTACTGACTGAACAACAGCACAAAGACTCTTCTTCATCTGTCTGAGGGGCTTCTGCAGATGTCAATGGAACCTTTTTCTAAAAAATGTAGGTGAAGAAAGGAACTAGTCAGAGAGGAGAGAACAGAGGATCAACTGGTGTTTTTCATGCACAGTTTAGCTGCTTGATATTAGAAGAAGATCATTTAGGATTCATAGTAAGAGCTGCATATTTACATATCCAGACTTAGGGATCACCTGTAAAGTTTTTTTTTCTGCTGGTCCGGTCGATCTGTTGATTTGTCCCCATTAAAAAAGGAATTATCAATTTTTATGTTTATTTTTAGCAATATATATGATTAAAATAATATTAAATATTTTCATTAAATATTAAGATTTCAAAACAGTTTTTCTTTAGAAAATGTTTTTTTTTTTTACAGAAAAATAAATTTGTTCCCCAACAATTATATTTTCATTAAATGTTATATACTGTATATGTTTGTTTTAATCTGTCACATTCCACAAAAAAGGAAACTGATCACCATTAAGAGCAAGTTGTGTCAAGAAATGGCCAGATTAAACTTGTGACAAATTACAAAATTTCAACTTTGCAGAAATTCAAATGAAATTTAAGAGCTACATGAAAGATTTTCAGCAAATAACTACTTAAATTTCAGACTGTTCTCTACATAAAACTATTTTACAACTTCACAAGACACAGAATAGAACACACAAGTCATATGGACTCACTGACAGGAGGTTAATGATTCCTGGTCATTGTATGATTTAATTATATGGAAAAGAGCAGCATGAACATTCTTCAAAATATCTTATTTCGCATTGACAGGAAGAAGTCAAGACATACAGGTTTGAAACGACATAAGGATAGGGGTGTGTGATATATATTGTCTACGATAATATCGTAATTGTTTTAACGATGTGCGATTTGACATTATGAAGTATATCGCAAAAACCAAACAAAACACACCTACAGAGGAACGCATAAACTATACGTGATATAGTCTGATAGGTTAGACTAGCGCATGTGCGCATTCACAATGCATTTTTCACTGTGTGATTCAGTCTATAAAAATGCATTTAGAATGCACCCAAAATTCAAAATATGGGGGCAGAAAAATTATATAAGAGGCACGTAGAGTGCCATATTTTCCTCCAAAATTCTGCATGATTATAAATGTGATTTTGATTTTATACAACAGTTCAATAAACATGAAGTTAATATTAAGAGACTTTTAGACACCATATTGCCTGTTTTTGCTCTATTTCGCTAACAAACAAAAAAATAGTTCCAAACAAAGCCACAGCACTGTTTTGCATCTTTGAGCAACATGACGGTAATTCGTTCCTGAATGAATCACCCATTTGAATGAATCGTTTCACTCGCAATGACTCACTTATTAACAGTGACTTGCTACCACCTACTGGCAATTTTAATTTCACATTTTAAGTATCTTTTAATTTTTTAAAGGGGTCATATGATGCGAATTCAATTTTTCCTTTCTCTTTGAAATGATACAAGCTCTTGGTGCATAAAGAAGATCTGTAAAGTTGCAAAGACTAAAGTCTCAAATCAAAAGAGATATTCTTTATAAAAGTTATGATCCTGGAAGAGTAGACTACAATGCCAGCTGTTCTCACAGACTGTAAGTACGTTTTCATTTAAAGGATTTGCCATGATGATTTAAACGCGAGTTTTGGGCAGTGTAGAGTAGCGCTTGTTTGTCATTTCTCCGATCACAAATGCAGACATGGTTTTATGTTTACGCGGCACGATGCAATGCAACGCGTAAAAAGACAGTATAAGTCATTATAATCCGTAATTATGTCCCCACTGGATGCAACAAATGCCTCGTTTATAATGGGTTTGAATGTTTTTGTCTCGTCGCTCCGGCCGGGACACAGCATCACAGTATGGTAGGGGCGTAACATTTCCGTCACACGCTTGAGGTATTCGGCCAATCACAACGCACTGGATAGCTGGCCAATCAGAGCACACCTCGCTTTTCAGACCGATAAGCTTTGTAAAAATCGACGTGTTTCAGAAAGGCGGGGCATAGAGGAGAAACAATAATGTACAGTATGTGGAAAATAATGTGTTTTTTTAACTTTAAACCGCATAAACATATTCATTACACCAAATACACAAAATAATGTTCTTTTTAGCAACATCATATGACCCCTTTAAATGATTTCAAATATCAGTATACAACGTTTTATGTTTCAAATATCAAAACATTATTCATGTATTTGTAACTGCAAGTTAAATGCATTCATGTCCCTCTGAGCTGCATTAAACAGTGCGTAAATAGCTTCTGTGTTCCCTCTGCATTGCAAAGATGAATTTTGTTGATACTGTAACAGCCAAAACGTCTTATTGTATTTGACTTTATTGATTAAATGTAAGAACCTGATGATAATCTGAAGATAATGCACACTTTTAGAAAAAAAATGGCTTCATAAAGGTAAAAATGCCCATAAAGTGTAAAAATCCATTTAAACTTATTGGACAAGATTAATTTCTCTCACTGCTGTGAACTGATCACCACACAGAATATGAAGAATATCAAAAACTTTAGGAGTCAACTGTCCACCGCAGTCCTTAATGTACCAGCGCAACACACTCAGCAAAATATCATCCGATTATCGCTATCGATAAAATCACAGAAAATATTGTGATATTATTTTTTGTCAATACCGCACACCCCTACATAAAGATGAGTAAATGATTTCACTATCCTTTCAACACAGCAAATGTTACGGCACTAGTCAAGCAGGCATGTCATGTGACGTGAGAGTGGTTGAAATGACCGATGGGAAGTGAAGGCGTACGGCTCTGTGCACAGAACAGACATGAAGGAGAGCTCAATTAGAAACCAAGCATCATACCCCTGAACTTAAGAGATTGGGTGTAGATACAGATGTGAGATTGCCTGGGTTACTTTCCTGAAGAGAGAGCAAAATGAGAGAAATACAGTACATAAACCAGATCCCGAGGATAAGAAATAATGGCCTGGCCTTCAAAACTGTGCTGACTTGACTGGTTTCATTGGTAAAAGTGCTTGCGGCGTTTATGCTGACATGATTTAGTGGTGGATAAATCGTGACAGCAAGATTTGCTGTTTACTGAATGGGCTTTATTCTGACTGGATCCGTTTTTCTTCTTATTTGTGTGTTGTTTAAATCAATAAACAGAAGGAAATGAGGAGTTTGGCTGTTAGTAATCTATGAGAACGTGTAGAGAACCGTGTGTGCATGACAGAATATAAGCGGAGCAGAGATAGCGTGAGGCCGTGCATTAAATAAAAACACTGGACATGTGCATTTCTACTCCCTAAAACATGTGCTAACCTATCAACGACCTTCTCGGGCTTTCTCCTAAAAACACAGACAGACTAATATCCTGAATGGAAATGAAGCCAGCTGGACTCCACACACTGCAGCCGAGCTCGATCCAGCCCAGTTCCTACTCTAGCTGCCACCCAAACAGAAGACCAGGCCTCAGCACACAGACTAACACAGTCTCTCAGAGAACTTAAAGGTATTGTCGTGTAGTTTGCCTAAACGACAGAAGTGAAACTTGTATAAAGGGGTCTGGTGAGATGAACTGAATTGTTTCTGGTTAGACAGCACCAAAAGCAGAACTGTTTAACTGAGTCCAAAAACAACTTTTTCCCCCGAACCTTTCAAAAGCGGGTGAATTGAGAAAATTTACCAGTCTACACTAGGACTGTCAAAATGTTTTTTTTTAAATTTCGAATATTCGCTGAAATTAAAATAAAAATCCACATTCGAATGCAAAAACTTTGCAATTTTAGGTGTGCGTTAAGGAGGCAGCCTTATCAGTGGCGCTATCTCGAGACTTTATGGCGGGGTTTTTTCCCCATCCCACTGCTACTCGTGTTTTTAAATGAAAAATGTACTCTGTGTGATTGTCTTTCGTTCCCTTCGTATTAAACTATGAATACATACATGATGCTGTTTTGTTTATAGTTGTTTAAGCAACTTAATTAATTATAATTGGTTTATAAACATTATTTTAAACATTATGCACATTTTTTCACAGATAGTCATGTTATCTTATGCTTTGAAGAAACGTGCATTGGTAATATTTTGCGCCATGCGCCCTCTTGTTGCCTCAGGAGAGAATCTAAAAGCTTTTCTTCACCCTAACTGAAATGATGCATTTTAAATTCGAATATAATTAGAATTTTGATAATATTTAAGTACAAAATTCGAATTTAGTTTTTCAGCCATTTTGACAGCCCTAGTCTACAGACCTATCTATTCTCACAGTTTTTTCAGCTCACCTATCTAGTGTTTTTTTATTTAGTTTGCTATTATTTTTGTTGTTTGCTTATGTACATGTATGAACATTTTTAACCTATGTCTTCATATTATTTTTTTCTTTGTACAGTGACCTTGAGCTTGGGAAAGGCATTTTATAAATAAAATATTATTAATATTGTTTTATTTCTTACCCTTGAAACTATTTTTTTTCTTCTTTTCTTCTTAAAAATACATGTATTACAAAAAAATATGTTTTATAAATAAATAAAATATATGTTTTTTCAATGACAATGGAATTATTTATCAGTTTCTCCACCCAGTGGAGTTTTTGGAGACAAAAAAGCCAAAATTCTATAAACTTCTAATAATAAGCTAGAAAAATTTTGATGGTAAATTTTCCACTAAGGTAAAATTTGTTAGAATAACAAATTTCTTCAGTAGGCGGTTTGATTTGAATCACTCTTTTTGGATCATGCTTGTCTCATAAACAGCCAAATTCCATTTGATACATTATTTCCATTTAAATATTGTTCATATTAATATATGGCAGCCCTTATGAAAAACAAGCATGCTTAATTGTATTAAATGTGTATATTATTTAAATAAAAGGCCACTTAACCATAATGAAAGACAGTACAGTTTCCTGATTAGATTTTTCTGAACACACTTATAGTCACCATGAAATCAAAAATGAAAATTCTTATTTTTAATGGAATACTGTAGTGTTTATTATAAATAATTTATCCGTGCACTTCATTATTATTTTTTTAATTCATGTGCCCTCGTAATCTTTAATTAAAAACGTTAACCTCCCCTCCCCCTCAAAACGACTCCTCTTCTCTTCCGGTCACGAGCTATGGCGCAAGGGCGGAGCTAGTGACGTGAGGGGTAAATGCTGGGATAAACCACAGGGGGAAAAGCTGAAGCTGATGCTTCACATTATAGCACTGACACCAGTCATGAGGGAGTACGTTTCCCCTAAACATTGAAAGGCTCTCTCTCTCTCTGCGCGCGCTGTTTAGGCATGTTTTGTGCCATTGATCGTCGTCGTCATCCGTAAATAAAACATTTATTCATGCTTGGGTGTCAGCTGTGAATCCAGTGGAGAGAAATCCCCCACCACTAACTGCAAACTGGCATTCAGATCTGCCTCCATTTTGTTAGCAATGCCCCAACTTCCAACGATCCAATCAATTCCCGAAGGACGAAATCAAGTCCCGCCCTCTCATTTCCGATTCCGTTTCACTTGGATATACGTCACAGTAGAGAAGAAAAGATAATTGCAACCTCCGTTTCATGCCGACTTTAAGTACACTTCCAAAATGTGCACTTTGTAATAATGTCAAATTAAATGCTTTACATTGAAGTACATTTTAAGTCATTGTTTTAATAGTCTTTTGTCTTGATGTGTTGACTAACATGCTACATATTTAACTGTACTGTAGTGTGTTATTCAATATTACATTTAAAAGTTAATATATTTTAAATAACTAAATTGCAACTTCATCATCACAGTAATTACAAATATATTTAAATACATTTTCATGGATAAATACATTTTCAGCAGTACACTTTATTTACTATTTTTCAAAGAAAATAGAATTATGAAATTATATATAAAGATGCACTTAAGTCTAGGGCTGCCACTAACGACTATTGTTATTTCGATTAATCTACCGACTAATTTATCGATTACTCGATTAATCTAAACGATTAATTTCCCACAAAAAAACAACAACAACTATTTTACTTAAGAATATTTTATTAAACCAAATGAAATCCAAATGTCTATGAATTACTTTTCAAAAGTAAAGTGCAATATAGAGTGCAAGAAGCAAGTGTCCATCTCATAGTCCAAATCACTGAAATCAAAGTTCAGTATTATAGTGTAAGAATGACAACATATCCACGTGTTCTAGTCTACTAATAATAAAATGTATAATCAAAAAACACCTTTTAAAGGAGTACTTATCAGAATTGTTATTTACCAGAATTTATTTAGGAGAAAAATGTAAATGTGCAGTATTTCTGAAAAAAAAACTTCTTTTTTTTTTTCAATAAAATCAATTAATTGGAGATGCTTTTGATTATTAAAATTTAATGGAACCATTAAAATGGAATCCAGAAAATAATGGAAAACAGAATTTGGTAAAGATAAAACTGTAAAACTCAATTAATTAGACAGGCTTTTTGATTAATACTATTTAATTTAACCATTAAAACAGAGTATAGAAAAATCTAAATGGAAAAAGAAATCATATGGTTTTATTGAACAAAATTGTTAAAATACATAATGTATTATAAACAATAGAGCTAATGTACATTACACAGTACAACAAAGGTCTGCAGGGGGCGCCAACGGCCTGATTATTGTTTTTACACATTGCTGTGCGATCTAATCCTTGTTTAATATTGACCAAGCACTATTTCATTCAAATGTCCACTTAATCTTTAATATTTGGCCATTTCTTTAGACAGAAATCCTACAGCCACTGTAATTAAATGAATATGTGGGCATCAAAACGTGTAAACTCAGAGTGAGGGTTTGAGCTTTTATTTTGAAACTGCGATGTATTCTCCTGGTTTGCGTAGATTTATAAATGATTTACCTTACAAATCTGATGAAATGGCGCATGTTGCTTTCCTAGATGAACGTTATAATAAACCCACTCACAACAACAAGCAGAGATGGAGTTTGAGACGCTCTACACATGTAAATGATAACAGTTCCTGTGGAACTACTGTGAACGGAGCCGCTGTGTTACGTATGTACTTAACCTACACGCATGTAAATAATTAAAGCGCATATACTGTATTAGAACTGCATCGCATAAAATTATTTAATTAAATCGTAGCATTTGTGAATTCACAATTATGCTTAATTATGATTTTTAAATGGGTTTAATATATCATGCAGCCTTGGGAAACAGTCTAATAATGTGTTTTATGGATTCTCGTCCGTGAAATGCACCACTTCCGGTATTTTGCCGTTTAGTCGACGCGAGCAAAATGAAGTTGAGGATTTTTAAAAATCGAATAGTCTAATAAAATCGACGAATCGCGACAGCCCTACTTAAGTCCTACATAAGTGGGTCAAAAAAGCACTGTAAAGATCAGCTAAATGAATTTAATATAAATGTAAAGACTAATACATTTTCATGTAATTACAAAATTATCAAGAGGGTAAATTTTGATTTCATGTTCACAGAAGCGAAAAAGAAAAACAACAAACAGCTATTTAAAATACTGATAAAACAGTTTTATAGATACTCTCAATCTGAATTAGGTGTGAACAGACCTGCTGAATGGTTTTGGAGTCTTTGGGAGGACTCTCTCTCAGTGGGACCTTTCCAAACAGTTTCCATCCTGCTGCACTCTGGGCCTCCCTCTGCTTTCTGGAGAACAGACTTCTGCCAAAGATATCATCACAGAGCATGTCAAAACCTGAAAACACTGCACTGACAATGCACAAAAATAACTGCAAGTGCACAAGCCAGTTCTTTTGGCTTAACAGCATGAGCTTTAACAAGCATTGTAAAATATGAGGAAATTCATAGTTTTAAGTCTGAGCCAGTCAGCTCAGTAACCGGAAGGAGACAGAATCTGTCAAAACCTGTTTACTTTTGAAGTGTTACGTGTTGAAAAACGGGATTGAATTCTTGAAGAGAAATATCTTTTGAGAAGTTTCTTTGTTGAACCATAATACACTGACAATTTAAAGGCATAATCCAGCTAAAAATAATTAAATATTATTATCATCATTTACGTCATATTATTTTCCTTGTTCCATGAAAAATCTAATAATAATAATAAAAGTGAAAGCGGATGTTGATTTAATAGATTACAAAAGGCGAGTACTTCTATGGCACTTTTATGTCCTTTTAAAGTTTGGAAATATAAATTATCAACCACTTTTGTTGCATGAAAAACAGCTTATTAAAATATCTTTGTATTTTTTGAAAAAATTAATAATAATAATATATATATCAGGGCTGTACAGTGCGACATATATGTCGCACGTGCTACAAAAAAACTGGTCTGTGCGATGAATAAATGTATATACATACATATATAAATATATTTAAAATAAAAGAATTAGAATAACATGACAATTAGTATATCACAAAATTGTAATTGTTGAGCAAAATATCCCTTTAAATGAACAGTACAAACATAAAAATAAAAAAATGTATATTATCCTATATTATAGTTATTGTTAACTTTATTCTATGTTTTGTTTAAAAAAAAATCACTATTTATAAATATTTAAAAGTAAAAAGTCCTCATTACGGTGTGTCAAGGTCAATAAGTCTTTCATGCAGTGTGTAATGTAGCTGTATGTGAATGTAAACGATCTGCAAAGTTGTAAAGCTGAAAGTGCACGATAAATAAAGTTATTGTCTCCCAAAATAAAGAACCGACTCTGAACAGCTTAATTGAGTCGTCAGTAATTCGAATCCCACTTCTGTGATGGCTACACATAATAACACATTTGCATAATGCCCGTCTATGTTCTACGTTGGCCGGCCGCGAACAACTTGACCCGTCCTCAAACACTGTAGCTTGTTCATGTCGAGAAGACGCTGTGAAAGTAAATTCGTTTTATTTTTATTTTTTCGAAAGATTAGGCTGTAAAGAAGCAGTGGTTAAAATGTACTTTTTTCCACTGTCCCACAGCAGTACAACCCCAAACTTTTTTTGTGTTTCCGTCATTTTACTGCAACCCTCTACATTGCGAGTAAATCACTCGCATATGCGACTAAATCTTACTCTGGGCGACTAAATGATGTCTAATATTAGCCAATTGCTAATAAATTCTCAGATTTTACTTGCCAGTGTGTGAGTTGGAGGTTAAGTGTAGAACAGATATATTTTCACTCACAGAACTCTCTGACTGAGCGCATCAGTTTCACTCTTCGTCAAGCGATCTGTGCTGAATGGATGTGCAGAACGCACCTGTATTTAACATACCGTAAACTCTAGTGTGAAGGCGCACAACTCGCCGTCGCTTTGTTTCACACACACGCAGAGAGAGAGAGAGAGA